CACACACACACACTCATCACACTCACACATGCACGCACACACACACACAAACGCATGATACACTGACAGGTACACATCTACCCACACCCACAGGCACCGACCTACCCACACACACTTATACAGGTACACATACACATGCACACACCGCAGACATAAGTACCCACAGCCACAAACCACGTAAGCAGAAATACACACGCACATACGCATGCATACACACCCACACACACACACATGCATATACACCTACACACACGCACTCACACACACACGTAGGCCACAGGCCGAAGGCAACGAACGAGTTGACTGGGCCTCTTCGCCGTTTGGGTGTTCGTTGGTCCCCGCAGCCGTTCTCCCCCGTCGTCGTCGTTTAGCGCACGTCGCTCGACTACAGTAATCCGCACTCGATGCGTATCTCTCGATGTGGCTGCGAGTGAGAGAGAGAGCAAGAGAGGCGAGGACTGGAGAGCGGGGTTGAGTGCGAGTGAGTGAGCGAGTGGTCATGTGTGCTCTTCAGCTGCTGCAGGCACAGACACACACACTATTGCCTCAGCCGCCATGGCTGAGGCGATCCTTTGAAGTGGGTCATGATCGATTGAATTGAAGTCTTCTGAAGATGGAAACGAAAGTCTTCTGAAACCGAAAACGAAACATTGTGGTGGTGTGGCTTCGGCCCGGACGAGAGCAGCTACCCACGGATCAGTAGGACTAACTGGCAACAGCCTCGTTCATCTCAGCTGTCGTGCACATGCGTTTTTCTCTGTCCACTTCTGTGCTGCCATCGATTTTTCCAGGGAAGCGAGAATAGAAAAAACCAACGCTGCGCTGCCGGCGATATCCGGTTTCGAGGCGTTATCGATTATCGAGTCGGGGGGAGTCAGAGAGTGGTGGTAGTGGAGTTGGTTGGTGACGGTACTGGTGGTAGTGGTGGCATCGAATTGTTCGTAGAGAGAGAAGGGAACATTCCCATCTCTCAACATTCGGGTGATTACGGTATCGAAGGGCATTCGGGGTGTATGTATGTAGTGCGTGCACCACGCGGGGAGATAATATGATGGAAATCAGCGTGTGTGATGAAGTGGCTAGTTTATCACCATCGTCACTGTTGCTGTCTGTCTGTCCCTTACCTTGTGTGAGCTCCTAGCGACCAATTACACCTTAGAAGTTCTGGCGCTACACATTTCTGATTCGACGACGACGAGGACCCAAGCAGACCGCCCTTTTTTCCGATGCCAATGGGCGGCGCCGGGTTCCGGCTAGCGCTCGTTTTTTAGCCAGTTGCGACATGCCTCGGCCGTTCAATGGGGCTTTTTCTCCTGCTTTTTTTCATTCTCGCGGCTAAGAACCAAATACATTCTCACTTTCATGCTTTCTGAATCTTTACTGGAAATTCTCTCATACTAAAAGGATCTGCTCACTATCAGGGGGTCGTTAACGGTTAATCGCAACAGTATGGCATGGAAAATGATTAGAATCAGCCGGGATTGATGCTCACCATTACTGACCAAGCACTTTATGATCGCAATGGTCCGAAGGGGAAGGGAGTGAATTCCCCCGAGATTCACCTGGCCTTTCTGAAAGTGAAATTTCTCCCCCAATCTTTTTCGGCTGCGTTGATCTAAACTACTGTTGGGAACCGCATGTGTACGAGGATTATTTTGTGAACATCATCGGAAGCGAGAGCCTTTCGAATTAACTTCTCTGCGTCTCTCCGTCCATGGCTCGTGTATATATCGTGGCAGAGTTAGTTTCTCTGAATTCTCCCCAAAATTTACATGCCACTTTTGATATGCCTGCATTTTATCGGCCAGTGACACTTTTTACCGCCTTATTCGTTCCTCTCACTAATGCGGGATGTTTCTTTTCCCAACGTTTTCTGGGAACCTTCAGTTCACTTCCTCCTAGCCGGCTTTCAGTCTTCGGCTTTAGCACTCGGTTCGTGCTCTACACTCGTTACCCGAAAAAACGGAACCAAAATCCCCATTGCCTCGATTGATATCGCTGCAAAAGTTCTGAGATTATTTCATCGTCTTTCAGTAAGCGTTTAACTGGTCCTCGGCAGTTTTTCACCTGAATTTACACCTGATGGTCGACAGCAAACGGCAGAGTGAAGACGAATTGCCTTCATCGGTTTGACGGGGCGACGTCGCAACAGAAAAACCCTTCGTATGTCGCAACCGTTCTCAGCTCCGTTTAATTGAAAGTGGAGCGTTAAGTTCCGGAGATGTCCATCACTTAGAGAAATACTGGGGTACTCGGTATACATTGATGGTCCCCTGAGCTTTCTTTTGAAAAAAAAAAAAAACTTCGTGGACTGGTCTTGAGCACTTACGTGAACGCACTTGAACTTTTCATGGCAAATATGTGATCGAGTTATCTGCTCCCAGACATTAGTTCTTTGGAATTGCTCCGTGCCCCATATGGGCCCTGCTCATTTGTACACACATACACATACACATCACACACATAATGGCACAAAGTGTACGCACAGTACATTGGCACAGGTTACGGTACCGCCACCGCCGCCGCCGCCGTTCGTTCGCTGCGTTGTGTTGCGCTGTCGTCGTCGCCGTCGGTCGAGTCGGCGGGGACAGGTAAGGCTAGGCCACCTAGAGGGGCTCCGTCGTCCGTACCAAAGACGAGCGCCACCACCACCGTCATCACACACACGCACACACATACGCGCACCGCGTAGAGCACCGCCCACTGTCTTCTCTACACCCATTGTGAGTCGCCTGTTCTTATGCCTGTATTTGGCCTTCTGTTCTCGTTTCTTCAGAAATCTCACTTTCTCGCGCCAACGAGGTCCGCTCATACGGCGGACGAACGACGACATTCTGCTTTTTCTTGGATTGAAATGAGTAAAAAGAACTACATAGAACTGCGCATTTGTCAACTGAATTCGCATTGATTGCGGTTTCTGCCGGAAAGCCGGAAGGGGAAGGGGTCCTTTGGGCAGGAGCGTTTGAGACGTGAATGAACCCTATTTCAGCATGTCCCATTGTCATCGATCTTGCTCAGCAGTGTTTATAGGGAGGAAAAACGCCCTCGAAAATGGACATCGTCATCATCTGGTGGTAACAAAAATAATACAGTTTAGATTGCTCAATACACAGTTTTCTCGTTTCCGTTGATTCGCAATTTCGCCTCCACTCCAGGGAACATCGGACATTGCCGGACATCGGCCTTATTAGGGTCAAGAAATCGTCGACCTTCATTGTTAAGAGCCATTTCCAAACGGTTCTTGGCGTTTATGGTTGTGGGTGGCGTTAAAAGTCATCAAATGCGAAATCCTGCAGTTGTGGGGCAAAAAAGCTTCTATTGGAGTTTGAAAGATGTGGTCCCCTATGCATCGCTGAACGTTCCCCACCTTGCAACGAAATAGTTTCTAGGAACATCCCAATAAAGATTTGGGTGATGGACAGTTGAGTAGAGGATCTTGGAAAGCTTTTAGTCCCTCCATCCTGGGAAAACTGTCTAGAAGTTCCGTTCATCTGCTACCGGACAAACTTTCCCCGTTCAGCTCGAAGCGCTGACCGGTCATGGGGTCTTTATTCAGGGTACGAAGATCATTGCTTTGCTCTGAAGACCTTCCCAGTCGGCCATTCCGTGATGCCCTTCATCTTTTCTTCGCTGTCTCGTAGAACTTTCTCTCGAAACACCAGTTCAACAACGGAGAACACCAATTCTCCCGTACAGCTGGTATCGCGCCGGGACGATTTCTTTTGTGCATGTCGTCGTGATTGTCGTCGTTGCCCTCCTGGTGGCGTCGCCGTCGTCGTCGCTGTTGAACATTGACCAAATTCGATTCTGGTTCTCTTCACACACACACACACACAAAACTTTTGCACTAAGCCATGTCGCTAGGGCGGCCAGTTTTCGCCGCACACGCGGTGTGTCTTCGCATGAACGCAGAAATTCCGCTACTGGCCAGGGGGAATTTTTCGCCGTCTGTGTCGTTGTTGCAAGGGGCAAGGGCCGTGGGGAAAAAAAGCTCCTGGATGTGGTCGAGCTGCAAATGTACAGAGCTGCTCGTTTCCCTATCTGTCTTTCACTTGGAACCCACAACAATGCAATCTATGCTGAGGGAAAAGCAATATGGGAACGGAAAAAATCATTTCACCTCATTTGTTCACCTTCTGTGGGGTTGGCTACGTAACTGTGGTTTGATTGACCTGGCTATGTTGCCCCTGAAAACTCGTGATTACGGTGGATAACGCCACTATTCACGCTCAACATGGCAATGTCCGCACATTCGTTTTCATCTGATGTTGCAGTTCCATGGGTACCTCATTAAATACGCAAAAATCTAACTATTCTAAGAAATAAAATAGTTCTCATCATTAAATTCTTAAACTAATGAACTTATATTTCTTAGTATTGATTGTTCTCAATGGATGTATCATTTCATTAAGGGTCCAGGAACTGCCCAGCTCGTGAGCCCCTTCTGATGAGAAGGGCTCAGGATCTGCTCAGCACATGGGCTCCTTCTGAGGGCACACCGTTGAGACCAAAACATCTTACTAGGAGTGTATAAAGGAATCCAAGAAGTTGTTTTGAGTTTATGAATGAATGGAATTTCGATGTATGATTTCAGTTCGAATCGAAGCCGGACGTGGGACAGCTGCAATCGCAGATGCAGATGCGTGAGGCGAAGCCGTACAAATGCACGCAATGCGTGAAAAGCTTCGCCAATTCGTCCTACCTCTCGCAACATATGCGAATCCATCTAGGCATCAAACCATTTGGCCCATGTCAATACTGCGGTAAAAAGGTTAGTTAATGTTCACAGAGAGACCGAGAAAAAAGAGGGAGATGATCGAGGGATGAAAACGAACAGGCCAAAGCACAGAGAGGCAAGAGCCAGGGCGATGTTGCGTCTCAGTGCTAGCCTAGACATCCCTCATTGATCATCTTCGTAGTGGAGAATTTGCTGAGCCTGTCTAGACTGATGAAGAGGTATAAACATCTGGTAAAAAGCTTCCCACAGAAGTAAACACATTGCTTACGTCTTCCTCAGAGGCTTACCCCAAGTCATGTGATAATCATTTTCGTTTTACTCCGGTACAACTTGGCCGGCATGACTCATTTCAAATTTTAAAGATGGAAATCATTTTTATTTCCAATATTATTTTCAGACATATCGATCGATTTCCCCAGCGAATGTTTGGGAAACGGCGGTTCACAGCACAGTCACGTAGTGTAGACATTATGAGCCGAAACACTACGATTAATTTTTATTCAGCCATAAACCACACTATTTGCGTACACTTCCCAAATATACCCACCGTCTATACAATTGACCATTGGGACCCTTTTTTCTAAGGTTCAGTCTCGTCGCATAGCTTATAGGTCTTGCACATATCTGACTAGTGCTCCAATTAGGATCAGTTTTCAGGTGATCGGAAAAACTGTGTTGCATTAATTCCGAACAAGATGAGGGCCTAGAAACCAGCCTAAGTCGTCGTTTACAAGCCTAGAATTGATATTCCCATTCGGGTTCGATTACCATCAGAGCCTAAAAGGAAGGGATTCGTAAAAGTTCAAAAAAATACAGAATCTAAGCTAGAAATAAAGCATTTCTAGGGTTTTAAATTTTTTTAAACATGAACGTCTATGAAGTTGAATTTCAATTGTTTATTTTTCTGAGAGATTAGACAGTACTTGGCTTTTATGATGTACTCACTACGATAATTCCTAGAGTTTTTCAGCTTTGATTCATCAACACAAGATAGCAGCCCATCAGAAAATTCGTATATGTATATGATTATATTGTCTTCAAAGTTTTTTTTCGTAAAGCTCGATTTCAATGGAGGAGCCGCTCGTCAATGAGGGTGTGAAAGGTGAAAAAAAACCGAAGACGAATGAAGCTTGAAAAACCGCCGTTCAAAGACTCCTAGTTGAGTGCTGCCGGGCCAATTTAAATGTATCACCTCCTCTTTTATTCGGCATACTTGCAAGATTATGACATGGAAATAGAAACCCAATGGGGTAGGATTAGAGTAAACATAAAGTAAACAAAACACTACAGACTCTCAAATTAACGATAAACATATCAGACAAAGCAGTTGAATTCAATATTACACAGCTTGAAATGAAAGTTTTGCCGTTCTTCTTTCTCTTGAGGGCGCTTCTGAGGAATCATTGATGATCGTATCACAAAGGAGTATCAGAAATTATCAGTCACGAAAATTCTCAGTCACTAATGAGCTCGGAGAGAAGTCCACCACCTGCACTTGAACTTTCTTGCCCTCTCTACGTCTCCTACGTCGTCGAGTTGCCAACCCTACAGTACACCAAAGCGGCGGCGGTGGCAGTGGCGGCGGTGGTGGTAGTGGAGGCCGCAGCAGTGTGATGAAAGTTGTGTAAGTAGCGTGTAGATCGATATAATAAGTTGCCGTACGTACTTGTCGTTCGTCGGAGTCGATGAATGCTCTCTCAACAAATTTGTACACTGATGAAAGGAGCGAGAGGGAAAAAAAGAAGAAAAAACGGATTAGGAACGCATCGAGCAAAGCTGATGATGGTCTCCAGAGCACGTCTACGAACGGTGTGTTTTTGCTTTTCAACGTCCAACAGTTTGGAAACCTGAGGACAGTCTTTGGAGCCTGTGAGACTCATAAGTTTGTACCAGAAGGCCTGCAGGGAGAAATACATCCAGGAGTTCAAGAGCTCTTCCTATGCAACAACTGGGCCCGAGGCCTGCCGGATAGTAAGAAGTCCAAGTTCCGAATATGTACGAGCACATGTGGAACGTTCCTTCTTGGAGGTCGAGCGGCACATATCCAGTGGTGGAGCGATGCCTTCATCAGACGGAAAGTCGTCCAATGCCTAATCAAACCGAAAAGTTGGTGATACTGCTGCTTACGTGTAGGTAGCTGTGCGACATGCTCGAAGAATTTGTCAGGATCCACGGGGGAAATATACTGGGTGTGACGGCAGACAAGAAGACATCCGACCGAGTACGTCGACGAAGTTTTTGTACAGGGGAAACTCTTCAAAAGGGCACAGCTTCCGAAATTTTTTGCTTCATTGCTGTCTTTTGCCGAAATTTTTCGCCGGCTTCTGAACGGAGAACTTTCGAGTAGCTCCCGAGGAGCAGAAATGTAGCAGTACATGGGTTATCGTTCCTACTATATGATCCCCATCCTATGTTCCTGAGGGGTCAAACGTATCTCTTATCGATGGCTGCGGCTGCTGCACCGTAGCTCGTCAACCAATAGCGCGCTGGCAAGAAGGGGCGTTACCTAGTGCGTGATTGGACGACGATCTAGCACGGACATCAAAACATATCAACAAAAATATCAACAAATTCCACGAAGGTAAAACGGAGATTCCTGTAACACAGAAAAAAGCGACAAAACTACAGGAGGACTACGAATGTGACACAATTTTTTCGTTTGAATTATCCTGTCTGATTAGGAGCTGTTATGGACTGAAGACGACCTGATGGAAGTAATGCTGCTCTTGGAAAACCTGAAAATATCAAATGTTCGATTGAGAACCGTTTCGGAAAGCATAATTTCGTGGGCGGACATGACTTGGAGGATGTGGATCGAAAATTTGCGGCTCTATTAGCCTCCTTTTTGAGCTGAAATCCCTACAAATGCAAAGTTACTGAGTTTCTGAAGTTGGACTTCTCCTGCTGGAATTGCTATTGGCACAATGAATAAATTCCCATGCTCCGCCATTTGATAAGAGATGCCTTTGAAAATCTCAGAATTTTTTTTTCACGTCAATCACTCCTATTCAGGGAGATAGGGGCCCACGCATTCGTCTTCATAATAATTACGATTGAAGGCCTATGTTAGCTATTCAAAGAGCTGCGTGGGCCGTCAAATGTTCGAGCTAGGGATTTTGTTCTTCAAAAGGAGTCTGTACCAGTTAACGACCCCAAAAGAGGCTCGGTTGGTTTGTACGGACATCGATTCGGTATCTGATCCCCGGTCCTTGCTGGTGCTATGCGACACCTTCCACTAGATGACCTTTCCGTTGCCTCTATCTGGCTACAAGCCCCGAGAGATTCTTAAATTCTTAACTCGTAGCGTCAGCTGAGCAGCGGCAGCGGACTTGTCGGAAATAGATGTGAGAAGCTGCCAGTTTGTTGAGGATCTCTACTCGTCTTCATGGTTTCCAAATGGAAAACAAGTTCTATAGCCTCCAATTTCTTTTGTACAGAAGTTACGATTTGTTTTTCCCTCTCTCAAGAAGTGTATCGCAACTTGTCCCCTTCAAGGACCACCTGAGCGAGAAATTTCGGGATTTCGCGAAACGATCTCCTTATCACTGAATATTTCTATTTTTGATCGGATCTACTGCTTTGGAACCCTTCCTTTGGAAGGCCTTTTCTTCCGAATCGGATCCATGGTATCCATAATTCACTTGATTTCCCGACCTTCTCACGATTCGTTCCTTCGCAGTACCAAATTGTACCATGTTCTTGATAGGATATGGCCTTCCAACGTTCCAGAGCTTCTCCTTACGAACTCCGCCTATTCAGCAAATCGAACGACCTTGCGAACAAAAAAATGATTCATTTCTCATCGTGAATGACCAAACAGAATTAAACATCCGCGGCTGCTGTGGAAGTGGGAAGCACATTGTCGATATGGTGGTCTCACGAAAACATTCGCCCATGGCGGGAATACTGTATTCCTAGCGAAGCCCC